AGGCATGTAACAAGCTTCCAAATAAAAGGGTGGCATGCGACAGTATTAAATTAACCACATATGCTTTCGGTTTAAAACAAGAGGCAAAAACTACACAGCGCACAGTACAACTGACACTTTATTCCTTCGTGATGGGGATATATAGTATTGAAACCGCAAGAGTCACCAAAAAAAAGAAAAAAAAAGAAAAAAATCAAAGTGCAAACCTCTATTAGAACAGGTTATGGAATGTATTGATGTTTTTGGCACAAAAAGTGGGGAACTCTATACTGCAACAAGATTTTAGGTTTAATGAAATGTAACACTTCTGTGTTCAGTAGTCATATCTGTGCACTGCAGAACAATACAATGTAAAACAGTGACTAACACGATTCACATGCAACTCTATACAAGTTACATCATACGTCCAGTTAAAACTTCGCTGAAAAGACACGTGAGGTCCAGTGATACTTTGTTCACAATCACTTAATACCATTCTTTAAGCAGTCTTATCTTTTTTTCAGCTTCCTTATTGATAAAAGCAAAAATAGAGAATCTTAAATAGCAAGTTATTTTCCCCAAATGGTTCCATGTGAATGTTGATGTTTTCTGTCAAAGCTCTGATTTCATTGATATAATGTATAAGAAGCTGAGTGAAATCAAAAGCTCCTTTTTTTTCCCCCCCATATTTCACCCCCAATTTGGTGTGAACAAACAGCATTCTGTGCACTGACTTTTTGTTTTTAAAACTGGACGTAGTGTTGCCTATGAGCTCTGTACCTATCACATGGAAATCACCAAAAAAAAAAAAACTCAGAGCACAGCTTCACACAGTGGCATCTATTTAAGACCGAAAAGGAGTATATTAGCACGGAAAAGACAAAGATGCAGAAATGGAAGAATTCAAGTTTATCTTATAAGGTACAGTATGCATTCACATTCTGATTGCAGAGAGAGACACTGTATTCACATTCTGGTGAAGAAAGCAGCCCACGTATCACAGCTCTCCCTAAACGCTCAGCAAAGATAACGCCTGTGAAAGGCCTACGACGCACACCGTAGCGCCTTCATTTCAACCGAGCTAAACTGATTGCTCGAAGGAAAAAAAAAACAAAAAACCAAACCCCTTTGATGCGTAATTCAAGCCCCACTGCCAAGCTATAAACCACAAGAACTTCTGCGCTGGCCTGCTATGTCACATAGCCTGACAGTCGTTATCAAGCGTTTTATGTGGGCAGCAGTTCAGTGCCTCATCTCCTTTTTTGGTTTGGGATTTTATTATTTGTATTAATCAAGGATGATGATTTATATCAGGCATCCGAGAAATGTTCTGGTGACAAGATGTACGGGATGCCCATTAGATGCATATGTATCGCAGCAGAAATGTCCTCACAACTGAATTCTTCATTTGGGCAACAGAAAAAACAGCAAACAGCGAGAAGCAGCAGCATTTGGCATGATTTTAGTTCTTAGTGCCATACTGCAAATGCACAAACTGAAGTGCTCTTCATGTTTTCGCTTTATAATGCCAGAAGAAAGAATAACGCTACAAGCAGAGAGGTGAGGGCAAGCCCACTAACCAGCTTGGGTAACTTTTGGCATCAGGCTAAGATGTAATCCAGAGTGTCTATGTTAGGAGGTTATGATACCTACAGAGACCAACAGAGAGAAAGTGGGCGTGATGTAGAGCACCTAAATTCTGTGCCTGAAGTTAAGACAGTTGGACTACAACTTGAATTCATCACCTGAGGGAATTCAAGTCCCTCGGCCACTCCCTTTGCTCTATCTGTATGCCAAAACGTAGCCTTGAAGGCAAGGATACCTAAACAGCAATAGGTGAAAGACCAACTCCCCTGTCAGCTCAGATGTTTCTCAGCTCCGAGATCCCAACTGCCCCCCTCTCCCTCCCTTGGGGAGCCAGGGGAATTCGTTGTCACCTATTCTATTGCCTTCAGGGACACAAGAGATCAACGGTGTCCACCGCTCTGTGTGTTTATCTTTTCTGGAGTAATCCTAAAGAAGAGGAGTCACCTTGTCACTCTCTGGCTCTATAGCTCCTGTTGACAGTCATCCTTCCAGCCCAAAGGACGTTGCTCAGAGCCAAAGCAGACTCCTTGGTTTCTCCTCCCTCCTGGCACCTACTCAGGGAGGGAGGGAGTTTCATATAGTCCACCATGGGCTGGGGTACTTTGGAGTGAACAGCGAAGAGGGAGGAGTACAAAAAAAGAAGACTCCAGTAGGAGAACTGAGGCAACGGAGGGCAAAATCACTTGGGGTCAAAAGAGAAAAGCGCTCATCATGCCACACACCAGAAATGAGAGCCTGAGGAAAAGAGAGACAGCCGAAAGTTGAGAGAGGGTGGAAGAGAAAAAAAAAGTAAACAGAAAGTTTCAAAGATAAATCAAAGCAAAATCCCACAGCCTAACGCTGTCCCAGTGTAGCTGGATGCTCTGGCTCCCTAGCAAGGGGAGGGAAGAGGGACTGAAGGAGATGGAGGGGAGCCAGGCCCCGGGGGGTGCACAGACAGGTCAGGGGGGGTTCTGTTCTGGCTTGGTATGACAGCTCCCATGGCTGCATAGGCTTTTAACAGAGTACAGCTTGCCTCTGGAAGGTTACAGTTCAATACTGCAGGGTCACTTTTTGGCACAAAATCTTTGTTCAAAATCAAGGTTGGACTTGATGACAGTCAGACTTGATGATCATAGAATCAAAGAATGTTTTGGGTTGGAAGGGACCTTTAGAGGCCATCTAGCCCAACCCCCCTGCAGGGAGCAGGGACTGCTTTAACCAGATCAGGTTGCTCACAGCCCCGTCCAATCTGGCCTTGAATGTTCCCAGGGATGGGGCCTCCACCACCTCTCTGGGCAACCCCTGCCAGTGTTTCACCACCCTCATTGTAAAGAATTTCTTCCTTAGATCCAGTCTGAATCTACCCTGTTTTAGTTTCAAACCATTACCCCTTGCCCTGTCACAGCCGGCACTTGCTAAAAAGACTGATCTTAAAGGTCTTTTCCAACCTAAACAATTCTAGGATTCTAAGTCATTTTAAAATGCAAGATGCTTTGTAAGGTATTTAAAAAGCACCAAGGGAAGGTAGAAAAAGAGATTCTTCACTGCAACGTTTACAGCCTTAGAGCCTGATCACCTGGGTCAGGCTTAAATGATGGCACATGGGAATGGAAGAGCCAAAGGGAAACATTAGGAGAACGCTTTTGGGACAGCATACAGCCATAAAACTAGCACTTGCTGTTTGGCTGGCCAAAGACTGCCTTTGGGACACGCTCTCTTTTCACATACGTTATATATTCGCTCATCATCCCTCTCTCATGTCATCACACCATACAGCATGCCCACAAAGCATCAGATGTGTCCTGGTAGCTGCCAGGAGGCTTCCTCCTCATTAGCCACTGAGATGAAGCTGAAGAGTACCTACGGATATGAGTAGTGGCGTTTCCCCTCGTATGACTGCACAAAAAAGCATGCAGGTTTCCAAAGGATATCCCAGTGTGTGCTGGGTTAATACTGTTTACTTTCCTGCAGACCACATTGCCTGAGCACCCCCCCTTCACTTCCTACTGTACCTTAGCAACACACAACAAGTGGTTCAGGAAAGGTGGAGGAGATGTCTAGGAAGCTGATAACATGTTCAGACTATTTGTCAGTCTCTGGAGAGTTCCCACTATTGCCTCTGGGAATTTCTCTATCCTTAGTTTATAAATGATTTAACAAGAAGCATGTGAATACAATCGGGTGTGCTTCATTTTACTGTGGTGAAAAAAAAAGTATGACTCAGTGGGTAAACATGTTGTGGAATTTGCTACAAAAATTGTATTTGTTTTAACTGAATACCACAGCAAATATTCATGCAATTAAAAAAATATAAGATGGTTATTGTTCCAAGGAAAACTGCCCCAAGGACAGATAAAGTACAAATGCCAATCTTCCAGGAAAAAATAGCTTCCCTTATTCATGAGCATAGTCCAGGAATAGCTGTCCTTCAACTCCTTCTATCACCATTTTCTTTTGAATTTTGCTAGTAAGTGGCCTCCAAAAGAGGAGAAAACAGTAAGGAGAGGCTGAAATAAATTTAAAAAGTAAACAAAAGAAAAGTACACACACACTACCCCCCATATTTTAGATTACTTTTGTAGTTTTAACTTTTCCAAAAGCATCTGTGCTTTTCATTCTTGTGGTCCGGGTGCTCCCTGGGATGTGGATTTTTTAAAATCTCCTCTTCCACTCTCACCAAATTGAAAGTCATGGCATTAGCAGCAAACTGGGACCTGAACCTGCAGGATGCATCTTGTGTGGCTGCACTACTCTCTCTTTCGCACTCATTCAGGTTTCCCAGGCAGGCATTGCCCTTGAACGCTCCTGTCGGAGGAAGCTTTTTCCAAAGTTGCTACCTGGCATCTGAAACTGATTCCAGCCACAACTGTGCCCAGCAGCAGCAACGTGATACGGCCGAGACAGCGAGCACAGTCCGTTGCCCACTGCTCCAGCTAGCGTACGGAAAGCTTCCCTACCACACCAGATACCAAGTTCATGAGCCCACTGAGTTTTCTTCAGTCCCCCTGATACCTTGCATCACTGAAAGTAAAGAGGACCGAGGAAGGGAAAAAAGATGCAGAGCAAGACAGCGAGAGAAAAAAAGAGAGGAGAAGGGAACAGTGTAAAGACAACAGAGGTGCTTGAAATGTTGAGAATTAGTGGGTTTTCATAACATTTTCACGCAGATATGTTAAATCACTAAAGCTAGGGTTAGCCATTATAATTGTCTTCTGCTAGCCCACGGGACTAACATACTTCAGAGTTATGTGCCCCTCAACAAACCGTACATCCACCTTAAATACCATCTGCAAGGACATAATAAAAATACACAAAGCAAAAAATTTGTAAACAAGGGTTAGTAGCACAGTGGTACAGTAGATTGTCAATAAAAACAATAAAAGTGTGGATACAGATTCGTCTACCTTGTGTGTAACATTATTGCCAGTTACAAGGTAGGGAACTCTGTAAACTCATAATTCTGAAGGTTTGTTAATAAGCACAGAGCAACAGGTGAGTGCCCCATCTACTTTCTCCAGTTCTGTGTTGGCTATTGGGATCAGCATGTGGTCCTTCAGCTTTTCAAATACCTGTTTAGGGAAGAAAACGAAACAGGAATCGTTATGCTTTCCACCTCCCCGTTTTCCCTTTTCTCCGAGTATTTACAGAAGGAAGAGGCACAGGTTTATCAGGGGGCGCTAAGCCGTCTCATCATTTGTAATCAACACCAACATTTACAGTGTACGTGGCCTTCTGGCTACAGGATTCACACGCATCAGCACTGCAGCGAGCGGAACTGCTGCTACGCCCAGTTATGCACAAGCCGCACCAGGGGCACAAGAGCCAAAGTCATTAAATCAGTAGCAGAGGCGAGAACAGAGCCCAGGCCTCCTGCCTTTCGCCATCTGAATCACAGAATCATAGAATCACTTTGGTTGGAAAAGACCTTTAAGATCATCGAGCCCAACCCTTTAAGCTAACCCTGCCATCCCACCCCTAAGCCCCTCATCTATCGTTCTTTTAAATACCTCCAGGGATGGGGACTCTACCACCTCCCTGGGCAGCCCATTCCAGAGCCTGACAACCCTTTTGGTGAAGAAGTTTTTCCTAATGTGTAACCTAAACCTGCCCTGGCGCAGCTTCAAACCAATCCCCCTCATCCTATTGTCCATTACCAGGGAGAAGAGGCCGACCCCCACCTCACTACAGCCTCCTTTCAGGGAGTTGTAGAGGGCGATAAGGTCTCCCCTCAGCCTCCTCTTCTCCAGACTAAACACCCCCAGTTCCCTCAGCCGCTCCTCGTACGACTTGTGTTCCAGACCCCTCACCAGCTTGGTTGCTCTCCTCTGGACATGTTCTGGTTATTTCCATGATGGGATACAACAGCCCATTCTGGAAAGCACCCCATTTCAATTCCCACCGATTTCCCAGCGAGGCTGGGATGCTGGGGGTCTCCTAGGCGCCACTCTCACCTTCGCGCTCTCCGGGTACTCCTCGGGGGCTCGGTGCAGCAGGACGTGGCCTTTGCCAGGAATGTTTAAGTAGATGCAGTTTGCCGCGGCATCATCAGGCACCGTCAGCTTGTCGTAGCGGTGGTCGCTCATCTGTTGCATGGTCTGCCAGGGGACACAAAGCGCAGCTATTCAGACCAAACACATTAGCAGCCCCAAACAAATGGGAGAACAGAGCCTTCAAAAAATAGCAAACTGCCATTGCCAAGTCAGCCAAGAGCCATTCTGCTACGCAGCAAGCAAGGAGCTCTCTTTTCTTCTCTGCCCTTCAAGGAAGAATCTACCAGCCCTAACTGAAATGAGCAATAGAAAACCTTTGGGAAATGGTTCCTGCAAGCGGGGCACTTGGTAAGCATCGTCCGTGGGGTCTTCTCCTTAAGGAACGCGCATCGAGTATGCAAAACTCCTGCTTGCATTGATGGAAACTCTAGGTGCTCAGCACCTTCAAAGAAAGCAGCCATCATTCAGTATTTATAAAATGACCGTGAATTAATACAAACAGGACAGGAACAGTTCCCAGCTTGGATATCAGCCCAATCTTTAATTCTTTTCAAGGACCTCCTTTCTGCTTTCCAAGCAGTTACTCTTTCACTAAGCACCTGTGCTGGGGAGCGAGAAGGCACGTCTGCGCTAATCCGCGTTCCCAAGGGGACAGCACAAAAACCTCCCCAGAACAGCGGAGCCGGTGCGTTTCAGGTTTATAAATATAGGGCTCATACACAAACTGGGATCCTGGCTGGAATTTCAGAGACAGGCTCTCAGCACATGAGAAGCCTGAGATCCCATGTTTTGGATCAGGCTCAACTTTAATAAAGATGGGAAAAGCCTGGAGACAAGATGCCTGACTCCCCATTGTACTGTTCCAGCTTTACCTCAGCTTCACCCTGACAGACCTAGAATAACGCAGAACTGAACAAAACTCAAAGTCAAAAACTTTGGTCCTACTGAAAGCCTAAGCAAATTCAAGCTTTCCAGTTTCTCTCCTAGTGCCACCACGTTCCTACATACACTGCAAAGATGCAAACAGAAGGAAAAGGCTTTTTTTCAGCTTACAAATACTCACACTAACAGCATCTTAAAACTAAACTGGTATTCTGAGAACACATTTTTTTAACTGAATTCCCTTCTCAGGGAAACCCCACAGATTTATGTCACATAGCAGAGAGCAGACTTTGATTTTAGGCACAGTAAATTAATCTTTAAATAATTTACAAGTTAATTTGTACTACTTCTCATTCATTAAAAAGTATTATATGGAACTAAATTATAACGAGGGTCTACAACATACTGGGAAGCAACAACACAACTCACACTGGCACACACCTACAGTAAGTAATTCCTTTATAGGTCGGGATATGTTTTTCGTGTTGTAGCCTGAGTCACCCACATCCCGCGGAGAACATGAAACTCACAACGAAGAATGCCACGCATTCCTGAGGCAGCGTTATCAGATTGTCATTTCTTGTTCCTTCTGCAGTTATGAAACTTTCCCCAGTTCCCAAGGTCACAGCTACCTCCAGAAAAGGTTAATGTGTTTTTCTGGGGAAAAATCCTTGCACCTTTACTCCACCGGATGTATTTTTATTACTGTGTTTACCATGGTTGACTTCCCTACTTATAATTTTTTTTTTTCTGTAACATTGCCAAGATGTATTTTATTACGCTTTCCTTGATGGTGCCGACATCTAGCAGGAGGTGACATGCTTGCACCCAGCGCAACTCTTCTCCCGGGTAACCAGAGCCAACAGACTTGTCCTCTACCTGCAGCTTCTCTTTTCTTCCCCTACCTAATCTTTTAAAGTCTGGATTAAGGAAACGTATTTAATAAATCTGCACAGAAATACATCTGCCAGTAGAGGAAAAGCCACCACGCCTGGAGTTCGCTCAGCTCCCGAACAGTCGTGCTTTCTCCAGTCCTTGCTGGCAACAGAATCGTGATATTGTAGGTTTTCTGTAGTAACAGCTCGTTCATCAGAAATACATTGTGAATCGCTGGGTAACATTACCATATGAAATTACACATGAATTCTTAGCAGAAGGGTACGGACACATCTCCCGTCCAGTTGCTTCTGCAGAATGCCGGGGGGAGAGCACCAGCAGCAGGCAGGAACGACGAACAAGCGGCAGGGCTCCCGCTGTGCCAGCACGAGGCACGAACCAGCTTTGGGAAGCCTGGGACATGATGGGAGGGCACATTAGGAGGATTGTTTTCAAGATTAAAAAGCACAGAAGCGGTGGCTGAATTAACTCCGAAAGAAATGAGGAGAAGAAACGAGTGGGGAAATGAGATAAAGCAGCATGGGAGTTGGAGTACACAGCCGTGATAGCGGGAATGGGGTCTCCGCTAGCTCGAACACCACCGCAAGAAAGCGTTTGTTGGTAACTGGAGGTTTGACAATACAGGATTACTCTCTTCCTCAGCTTTCAAGTTGAGAAGGAAATCATATTTGCAAGCTTTCATCCCCGTTACAACTATGCCTGCACGTTAAAGTAAAATTTCAACCCCCACTTTCTTGGGAAAGCACCCTGGCAGTAACACCCCAAACCTGCCCAGTAGGGAGGCTCTGGGTGCAGCAGAAATGCACCGATACGCTGCTCTTGGGTTATTTTAAAAACCTATGGGGTTTTCCATATTTCTATTATGTAAAGTCACTGAGCATGTGCGCCCGGCCAGACTGGACTCCAGGGCAGCGGAGGAGATAAAAGCAAGGTCCTTTAATTGTATTTACTATCAGATACAACCCCAAAATAAGTATTTTTTTGGAAATGACAAGTTTATGAAGACTATAGCACTCACACAATGCGTTTGCAGAGGGCTGGCTTTCTGCCCACAGACATCGTACGACCAGCTACGTTAAGGGCCAGGCATTTCCCGCATGCCTAGTTTTTCTGGGAATTTTCTTCAGCCTGAAGAGGGTGATTTTCATTGCGCATTCTCTCAGCCCTTAGTCATGCTTTCCTTATGTTGAAGTCATTCGCATAGCCTAAAATGCCTTTTCTATAGTTTTTTTACAGTGTGTCCTCCGACAACTGAGGTAATGGATAAGCTAAATAATCCTAAATATGAAGCAGCATTATGCATGAAGGAAAAATGCGTATGTGTTTAGGGCCTATTATCACTGACAGAGTCAAGATGACCACATGCACTTTTAAACCAAGCCAAGCCTAGTTACAGATTTTCCCCCTCCATGAGGACAGCATTAGTCTGAGCCCTGCTGCCATCCGGGACCTACTCGCACCCAGATTGCCGCGGGACAGCCAGCGACCAAACCCACCACACCTGCAACCAGATGCGCCTTTGCATCTCCAACACCCCACAAGCAAAACCAGACCTACAGCGAGCATTCCCCTTGCTAACACGGCAGTGAACGCTGCGCTTAAAAACGCCTGCGTCATGTCGACAGAGAAACACAAGTGCGGATTTTCAGGGTCTGATTTTTGTTTTGATTAGCTCCTGCTCCCTTAGATCCCAACATTTAGAAGAAAAAACAAACCAAAGCCCAAGTCAAGCGCATGCAACCCTACACCCACAGGATCATTCCCTCACCAGATTTCAGTTACCTTGCCCTAAATCCTTCAAGTCATGGTATTCTTAAAAGAAAGCTGTTCACTTAAAACCACTAAAGATATTTTTTCCATCCTATCTCTTCCTTCTTTCCAAGCACATTAAAGTTTGGCCTGATTCACACCGATGCTTAAGTAACATTTGGCCCGGAATACACTGCAAGTTGGAAGATTTTAATCCAAGAGATTGAAAGTTGTGAGAAAAGTTTAAGCTACACTAAGACTTTGCCTGCAAGAATGAAAATTAAGTCTTTTGGGGTGCAGGGCAACTCACATCGATGAGAAGAATAACTCGGCAGTATGCAAGTCACATCCCCCCCCAGCTGTCTGGGACTTCGGAGGACATCGTGCTGCTCTTCTGCTCAGAGGAAGACCACTTGTGCCTGGAAATGACAGCAGACTTACGCCCTTACACACTTAAGGCAAAGGATAAGGTTGGGCACCCAGACAGTACGTTGCCATCTGGAGGGAGGACCAAGAAAGGTAAATTATTGCTCACTACTTGGAAAATACCTCTGGTTACCAAACCTGTCATTTTTTAATGCTTGTAGAACCTGGAAGTGCTTCTTTATTAGCGCTGCATGATGTGGGCTCCAGCCCCACATCAGAGCTGACGATGTCCCACTTCTGGATCCTAAGACAGGGACTGGAGGCGACATTTCTCTTCTTTTCTGAACTTGCCCCTTGCCTTTAGAGGTCCCCAGGTTCTTGCACTGGGAGAGACAGGGAACAATTGATCCCTGGGCACCTTTTCCCATCACCAAGAAAGGTAAATTATTGCTCACTACTTGGAAAATACCTCTGGTTACCAAACCTGTCATTTTTTAATGCTTGTAGAACCTGGAAGTGCTTCTTTATTAGCGCTGCATGATGTGGGCTCCAGCCCCACATCAGAGCTGACGATGTCCCACTTCTGGATCCTAAGACAGGGACTGGAGGCGACATTTCTCTTCTTTTCTGAACTTGCCCCTTGCCTTTAGAGGTCCCCAGGTTCTTGCACTGGGAGAGACAGGGAACAATTTGATCCCTGGGCACCTTTTCCACATCAGTCCTGATTTCACAAGCATCTATCATCACCTCTTAATTGCCCCTATTTTAGATTACAGTCATAGCTTGCTTAGTTTGTCTCCTTAGGCAAGCCGTTCCAGGTTATGTGTCCATCCTTATTGCACTTTTCTGAATCTTTCCAGTTCTGCTCTGTCTTCTTTGGAATGAAGGGATCATGCGTGATGTGTGCACACAACAGCCAACATGCACATGCACCACAGCTTTAATCTGTGGCATAATGGTGTTCCTCATTAGGCTTTCAGCTGAGCTGGCAATTTCAACAAAGCCCAGGATCTTATTTCTGTGGCAATGATCAGTCAGAGCACATTATTTTATATGTGATGTTCACGTCGTCATCCCCCTGCGCTGCACACCACTTTACACTTATCTGTGCTGAACTTCATTCACTGTTTTATTGTCTCTGTCTATTAAGTTTGTTCTTTGCTTTTTATATTTGGAGAAGCAATTGGCACTGGAGAGGGAAAGCAGCAGCC